AGCACCCACCCAATTGTGCACCTCCTCCCTCCGTTTCCAAAGCGCCCACCAAGCGGCCCATGACGCTAATGCAACCATTGACAACATGTAGCTGTAGAGGCCAGCCGTTGAGGACCGTTGAAAGTACCAGCACCGTTTGCGGGGCAAGCAACTTAACCTAATGTACCCGAAAGCCCAGTTTCAACATGTGCATGTAAAGCTATTAGCGATCCTGAGTCTTCCCTCGAGTGCAGATAGGCACTCAAGAGGCACAACACTGCAAAAGCTTCACTAACCCATTTTTCCACCCTTTTAATGCATAAGGGCTTTTACTGTCGGTCACACTCGGACATTCCGTCCGGAACTGTCAGTACACAAATTTACTACCCGAGAGCTCTCACCCCTTGCTGACTGTCAACCATATCGCTGTTGGGCCACACTTGTGCAGGCCCCGCATATTCAGAACGTAAAACAACTTTGGTAACCTAGGGCAACGTTTATCCCTGATCAAATCCAGTCAAGAAGACACCGAATGTACGACCGATGTAACCCTTGTACTATTGTACGACAAGGTAAAAGGAAAGTCTATATACGCACAAACACAGATCGGTTTTGTAGTAGAAGACGAAAAACAGTCTATTTTCGCCTGCTACGCAAACCGGCCAGTGCCATTTCCTTGTCAATGTCCTTCCACGGAACTCCCGCTGAGTACCTTGGAGGTCATATCAATGAGGAGGCTCGCTTGAGACAGCTTCGCTTGCAGTATGGCCATGTCAACATGTACCCTAAAGTAATATCAGTATTGAAGTAAACGCACGTATGTAAATGGCAAACGCAGGCGTAGAATCTGTTTTTGACTTTCCGCCGTACTGCAAACGCGGAAATGCGGATTCTCTTTCCGCACTTTCGTCATTCTAGGCTCTCTGCGGAAAGTGGGAAGAAACCTATTTCCACAGGTTTCCGTTTCCGCACGTTTCGGTATCGGCTAGATCCCTGGTGTAAAGTGGGCCCAATGGAAAGTGAAATTCATATATTTCTATAGTCAACTTGTAAAATTTCTTAGCCGCTGGCCAATGGAAAGACCCCATTAGAGCGTTGCCATGGGTTTGCCGAGCATGAAGGAAGCAATCCATATCGGGTGCCGGCGGACCGGGCGCCGTACACGCTCGTCCAGCTGGGCGACCTAAAGCGGACGCGCGCGGTTTGACCTGGCAACTCACAAATTTTGGTTGGCTCGCTCGACATTTCATCAGAGGACCTTCGTATGAACCTTTTTCGGATCGCTCGAGCGTCTCAGGACGCACTTTGTGGAATTAACTTTGCGCGAGCAGCCACTCTGTATGGCCATGTAGCAATGCACTTTCCATTCCTCGTAAAAAAAGCGTCCATATAATAATAGGACAAGGGGCTCCGCTCGTCAAAGTAGACTTTGTTGTGGTGGCATTAGCCGAACCAAAACGAACTCCTGAAAAGCTTTACGAAATTCATCAAGAATACGGTGAACAAAAAGTTAAGAACAAGTGGAACCATCCGGAACCGAACGCAATCGAGCAATGCAGCGGTCACTCATGAAAACACAAAGAGATGTAACGGAGGCTCACTACAGGAACCAGGATTCCAAGACAACGAGGTCTGGCAGGTCAAGTCGTGTCGCATCACTTCTGGGTCTGCCCCGTGGCCCTCGGCACGGTGGGCCAAGTTGAATTGCAGATGGTGGCTCGGGTGAGCCGAGCAAAGCTCTGGCTGATGCAAGCGCCACCCCCTTGGAGCGCTGTGTGTAGGTGGTGGTAGTGTGTCCTGAGGTGCCTGTGTAGGTGACTTCCCCCGAGTTCTGCTTTATCCTTTTCCGGTGCAGTCGTGATGCGTCGCTGTTGCCCCTTGTTTGCCCCTTGTAGTGGTGGTCCCGCTGGGTGTCTCTGCATTTTTGGGTGTTCTGCTGGCGGGCTGTAGCTACTGTTAACTTTCGGGCATTGTGATGCGGGGATGCATTGCACCGACGATTCCTTGCACGGGGTCCGCTGTAACCTTCATTCATTCAGTGTATGTGAAGAAGTGCATGAATTCTCGGTCTTAGAGGGCATTGCGTTATGTGTGTGGTGTAGGGCGTGTTAGATTTCACACAGCACCTTTGGCCCTTCATCAGATTACATGCAGCACAAGTCACACGGCTGCCAGAGATTCACACAGATTCACACAGCGGCCTCCTTCATCACGCCTGCCTGGGATTCAAACATTCAGTGCTCCGTTTGGTGCTCCCGGAGTTGCATGCTCTGCGCGTTCCAGTAGTCTCTCTCAGGCTGTGACAGCTGCCGCCGCTTCAAGGCGATTTGCTTTGTATGCTCATGAGGCAGGGAGCTCTGTCCAGCTGCCGCTGCTTCTGCCTTCTGTGATTGCGTGAACAACATGTAGCCGTTTGGTACCTGCTTTGGCTTTGCCGCTTGACCACCCACGCTCTTCTTCCTGGCACGTGGATTTGTGACCTTCACAGCTGCTCCGCTATCTGTTATCAGCCTATAAAGAATCATGCCGTTTGCTTATGAATCTATCATGTAAGGGACATGCAACGACGTCAGAGGCAAAGGCTGCGGGGAAGTCAAACTCGAAGCCATGGAAAGGTATCTTCGTGCTCCGATTTATCTGAATTACCTCCTTTGGACAATCGATGTAGAATTGGTTTAGCTTTTCAACGCTATTTTCTGCGTAGCAAGATATGTAAGCCCCTGACAGACTGACTGACTGACAGCAGTGAACACCTGGCTCGGCCCCCCGAATGGCGCTTCGCGTCCGGGGCCTCGCCCAAAAATGGAGAAAAAGCAAACAAGGTCCCAAACAAGGACAAGTCGGGTGTCGGCTTCCTCGAAGCCGGAAAAAAGCGGGCCCCCCTGCATCCGTACAGGCCGGTAGCTAGCGCGGCACGTGTGACAATTGATGGGTAGTGTCAACGCGGTGGGAGACGTGCTTTGTTGCAGCAGTGCTGATGGTGTGAGAGCTAAGCTTGCACCGGCGGAACCGTCAGCACCGCCTGCGGGCTCCACGTGAATCGCATCCATCCCGGGTGCATGCCGCATGGACAGTGCGGCAGACCGCAAGTCGGAATGCCTGTGCGGGCAAATGGTAACGAAAGCTGGGTGAATTTCGGTGCTGTCTGTGATGTTTATCCCCGACGCGCCAGCGGCCTCAGCAATCCGCCCCACAGCCGCGGGCTTCATCGGGGCACACCGCAAGTCTCCGGAGGCCCCGAGCATTGGCTAAAGTAAATGTACATATGCGCAGCTTGCGTATTTCATAGAGAAATGTAAGCAAATTTGTCGGCCTGCTGGTGGCAAGTCGGAATGCCCGTGCGGGCAAATGGTAACACAAGCTGGGTGTTCAAGTTATCATACGCTGTCATCTCGGAAATCATCAATGATGAGTTACCCGGCACCTTTTTGAGATGAAATTTAGCCCGAGAGGCGTTGATGTGACTATGAGCTCGGTCAATGGAGGCAGCCAAAGTTGTTTGTGCTCATACGATCTTTGTTAGCTACATGCGAGATACCTTGCAATAGAGAATGCTATATAGTACCGATAACGCGTTTCAGCCGGGTGAAATATTATGTTTGGTCCGTTACACACTCAAGGCCTGGGAGTTCGAGCTATCATACGCCGTCATCTAAGAATTCAATATGAGATACGCGGTACCTTTTGAGATTAAGTTTAGCCCGAGAGGCGTTGTGACTTTCGCGTTTCAGCCGGGCGAGATATTATGTTTGGTCCGTTACACACACACACACACACGGACATGGGCAATCATACAGGTCAGGGGCCCCCTGGGCGCTTCACTCTGGGGCCCCGCCCAAAAATGCTACCTTCCCTTCATGCATGACGGTGTAGCACGTGACAGGTATCTCAAGGAAAGCACCATGCTAATCGTTTTGGGTTCATCATTTAGTAAGTGTTGTTTTGCTTTTGTTTTGAATGCAGCCCCCATACACCCGCACGGCAAAGTCTCTGACCACTTCTTTGCCAATGACCGTCTATCGAGCCTGTTTAACAGGTCAAGCTTAGGTGCTGCACGGACTTGCCATGCCTCCTCATTATTAAGGCACTTACATGACCATCCCATTGCAGGCGCACTGTCTGTCTGCCTCATGTTGCATCACTTCACAATCAAGTGCCGCGTGCCAGGATCGACATCCTTTTCCCCTCCTCCATCCCACAGGTTCATGTCCAGGGCAAGGTCAACATGCAATCACACTACACTCCAATCCAGGAGGTCCATGCCAGCCTGTGCCACCTGCCCTCAAAGTACACAATTGCAATGACTTCTCACACCCTTGCTTGCCAAACAATCTACTCATACAGCATCACTTTGCTGCCCCAGCGCGCCTCCCTTCCTGAAAGCAGTACACCCACTGTTGAGCTGCAAACACCTCACAGCCAGCACCCCCAACAGCAGTCCAACACATGCAGGCCCGTTCAGAGATGCCAAGGCATGTATTCAGCCGTACACAAGTGTACACATATTCAGCCGTACAAACCTACTCCGCCCATGCTACCACTCATATCTGTAGCTGTTTCCTTGTACAACTCAGCGCACTTACAGATACATGCCCATCTGTGCCTATATCTACACAACCTGCAACACCAGCAAATGAGCAAATGCCCAGCAATGACCAGTCCCCAGGTACACACCAGCTGCGAGCCCAACCGTTAACATGAATCTGCATGTCTAGAGGGCCCAATAAGGCATCATGCCATGGTGACCAAAACAAGCAAAGCCACCGACTAGATTTCTAAGCCTCTGACGTTCACAACCTTGTGCCCACATCCACAGCGGCCACCATACCAGCCATCACCAGCGGATGCAGCTGCCACAGCTGCAGTGGCGACACCATCACCGCCCACTGGGGGCAGCAGAGGAGATGCTCGAGATATGCAGTTTCGGAAGGATGACCATGCGCGGATTCAACCGTGGCAGATGGCTGCGCCTCGGAATTGAGATGCCCCGTGGGGACCTGCTCAAAGCAACGGCGCACATTGGCACTCTGCCAGCATCGGAAAGTTGCTGCTGCTGCTGCTGCTGGAGCTTCCAGGGCTGCTGGATTCGGAACCAGGGGCAAAGCCTACCAGGGGGATCTCGATGGCAAACTGATCGATCTCGATGGAGTCCTTAGCTGCCCCCTCAAACTGTTGCTTCCTGAACTGCTTGAACAGGTCGGGCGGCACTGCAAAGTACATTTCGCGCTTGAGCCCCTTCAGGTCCCTGGACAGTTTCCGCATGGAGGTTTGCAGCCCTGACGCGCTAATACGGTGATTGGCAGAGACAGTCACCTGGATAAGGAGCAGTCGCGCTGCCTTGCCGTTGCTGTCAGGCAAAATCAAAAAGCTGTCCACGGCAGGAAAGTTCCTCGCCACCGGCACCAGGAGCCCAGACCCTTTTGTTGTGGGGCTGATTTTTTTGAGGTCGCTGTCCTGCACCTCCATCAACTCCATTTCCGGCACCTCCAGGCTGACCTCCTGCTCTCCGGGGTTAGAAAGGCTGCGCATACGAAACGAGCCGCCCCGGCACAGCAAGTAATGTGCTAGCCCCTGGAACATTATGCCTCTAAGTGAGGCCAAATCTGGTCTGCCAGCGGACCACTTAACGAATTTGGCCAACTCAGCAGTACCCTGCCGATGCAACTCCTGCATCACACGCTGGCCGATCATCCCGGAGCCAAAGACTAGGCGTTTCCTGCTGCAGTTCTCATCCACCTGCATGTCATTGCAACAACCCACAACATGAGAAAGGCTTGTCAGATGGTGTGCAGAACCCATGCCATTGCCACACTCTGTGCGCATCCCTGATTTTAAAAATGGCACTGATTTCCAGTGATTCTTCCACCGGATTTTCCCCTGTGGGCCTTTAGATATGCACATCCACCCAATATTGCCTGCCCAGTGCAAAGTCACCAGTCACAACACATGGGGCATCTGCTGTAAGAGGGATCAGCTCCCCTGGCATCTCCCAACTGAGTACTCTTTGCCTGGTGTTACATTGGTGCGAATTGCTAGGAGGTGGGAACTCCCCGGATCGAATTTGGTTGCGAGCAGATCGCACACCAGGCATGATGCAGCATACTCTCACCCCAAAGGTGGATGCCCAGGTGGGCGGGAAGTCTACTAGCCGAGTAAAAAAAAAGT